GAAATTCCTGAAGCTTGAATGTTTAAAGGGGCCCCCCGAAGCATGAACTGTTTTGGGGCCCCTGAAGCATGAACTGTTTTTGGGGCCCCCAACCATGAAAGTTATGGGGCCCCCTGAAGCATGAACTGTTATGGGGCCCCTCCCCAAGATGAAACTGTTATGGGGGCCCCCGAAGCATGAACCCGTTTGGGGCCCCCGAAGCATGAACTGTTTGGGGGCCCCGAAGCATGAACTGTTATGGGGGTCCTTTAAGCTTGAACTTTTTATTTTTTAATAGCTAAAATTCAAATCCAAATCCTACAAAAAACCCTCCCTGATAAACATCTACAGGGTTCCCAACAAAAAAATTAGCCAATTTAGTTCAAAAACCCAGGAAGTATGAAAATGATGCACGCAAAGAAAAAGATCCCTTACTACTCTCAGGGGGATTCAATATAAATTTTCCTGCAAGACCCGGGCCCCCGTTACTGAAAATTTACAAACACAATTTAGTAAATGCCTGTTGCTAACCAAAAGTAAAAAAAACCTTTCAAGAGTTACAGAAAACTAGTGTTTTCCCCACTTGACCAAATTGGACCAACACCATATCCCCTTTAAAACAAAGCATTTAATTTTCAGATAATACCACAGACCACTAACTTTACCCTTTTTCCCCATAACAACTCTTGGAAAAAACCCCCAAAACACTACTAAAGTTTACCTTCAGATTCACCAAAAGAGGAACCATTTTAAAAACTTCACAACAGCGTAACAAACATTGACTGGCACATGAGCTGAAATCTTTACAGATATTGACGAATGTTTTAATAATTTTCCCAAAAAAAAACCAATACCTCTAAACAAGCACTGCCCCAAAAAAAACTAAAAAAGATGGGGCCGCTAAGGGGAATGAATAGTCCCTGGGGTAAAAACCCCGCATTCTCAAATCCCTAAAAACAAAAAAACCCATATGAAAACAGTACAGAATGGGGGACATAACCAGAGACCCCAAAAAAAACGTTACCCCGTCAATCCTAAACCCGCTTGTTTAAGAAAGGGCAAAAAAATTGTATTAGGGGAACGATTATCCAACTTAAAGAGGTGATATAAAAAAGGGCCTGGAAAACCCTATCAGAAATTCTGGGAACAAAAAAAATATCACGAAATAGCGAAAAAAATTAGCAAAATCAGATGACCCCCAACTCCCACCATCAGAAACAGCAAACAGACTCAATGATTTCTTCCCCACTATAGGAAAAAACCTTGCCAAAAAAATCCAAGCTCAGATTACCCACAAATGACTACCTCACGGCAACTACCCGAAACACATTTTCCCTAGCTCCGACTAACCCATACGAAGTCTCCCTTATTATCAACGCACTAAAAAACAAGGCAGGAGATTTAAATACCTTACCCCCCTTTATATCAAAAAAGTGTCACAAGTACTATCACCATCACTGCAACACTCTTTAAAAAATCCATTGAATCCTCCCCCTTTCCCCTACAGCTCTCAAAATAGCAAGGGGTCACCCCGATCCATAAAGGAGGAGACCAAACGAGTTGAATAACTATGGGCCCAATATCCAATTTACACCCTCTCTCAAAAATCTTCGAAAAATTAATTCATAAACGATTCTACTCCAAACCTTTCTTCCCCCAAAAACATTCTAACCCTGCCAATTTGGATTCAGGCCTAATAAAAATACTAATGATGCTATTATACACATGCTAGAACATATATACACTGCAATAGAGAAAAAAGAAGTCCCACTGGGGATCTTCATTGACTTACGTAAAGCTTTTGATACAGATGACCATGACTTGCTCCACGTAAAATTGTCACTATGGTATAAGAGGGCACTCCCTCAACTACCTCAAGTCATACCTCAGCACAGAAGCCAATATGTGTACGCAAATGGGGCAAGCTCTTCCGCACAACCAATTACAGTGGTGTCCCACAGGGAAGTGTCCTTGGCCCTCTTCTCTTTTCCTATACATAAATGACCTACCAAATGCTTCGCAATTACTCAAACCCACATATTTACAAGATGACATACTTTACGTCTTCTCTCACCCGAGCCCAGTCACGCTAGCCAATACTGTAAACCCGAATTACAGAAAATATTCTACTGGATGAGGACCAACAAACTTACACTAAACATTGAAAAAAACCTACTTCATTCAGTTTGGAAACAGAGCTACAGATGTCCCTCTTAAGATAACGAAAAAAACAGATCACCTATCACAAAGCTAACAGAGGGAAAATTCTTAGGAATCCACCTTGATAATAGACTCAAATTTCATACAACATATACAACAAATTTCTAAGAAAATTTCCAAGGACTGTAGGCATACTATCGAAGATACGGTACTATGCTCCACAGTCAGCCTCCTGGCCCTATATCACTCTCTTATTACCCCTATCTCACCTATGGAATTTGTGCATGGGGCTCAACAACAATTAACCATCTCAGACCACTAATTACCCAACAAAAGGCTGCAGTCAGAATGATAACAAATTCTCACTACGGGGAAACACACTCCACCAAAAATTCAAAACACTCAACCTACTCACCATACAAAAAATCCATACTTATTACTGCACCTATTACATACATAGAACACTTAACTCTGATATTAACCCTCCCCTCAAACATCTCCTTGCCAACCTCAACAGAACACATGACCATAACACAAGGACAGATCACCTTTGATGTTCCTCGTGTCCATCTCCCCACTATGCAAAAACTCAATGCACTTTAAAAGGCCCTAAAATTGGAATTCATTACCTGTAAATATAAAAGAAAACACTACCTGTTTATAAATTCAAGTCTCTTCTCAAAGATCACTTACTCACTCAAAACCAAATAAATACTGAATAACTAAACCCTTATAAATTGTATATCCTATATTTACTCACAATTATATCAACAAATTTTTAAACCTAGGACCCAAATCTAACTTTATTATTTTTTTAAATACATTTACCTAACAGAATACTCCATTCTACTGAATGTACGCAATGCATGCAACCATATGACCTGTCTTTGTAATACTCATTTGTGCTTTATTTGTTATCTGTTTACAATAATGTTTTATCACTGATTACATCATTGCTTAGTTAATCTTAAGTTAATTTTAAGCCAGCCCGTAATGCTATGCATATAAGTGGCTTTGGCATGCTGCTCTTACCTGTATTTTTTGTACCTCTGTATGTATGCTAAAATTTCTAAATTAAATAAATAAATAAATAAATGGGGGTCCTGAAGCTTGAACTGTTATGGGGGTCCTGAAGCATGAACTGTTATGGGAGTCCTGAAGCATGAACTGTTATGGGGGCCCTGAAGCATGAACTGTTATGGGGGTCCTGAAGCTTGAACTGTTATGGGGGTCCTGAAGCTTGAACTGTTATGGGGGTCCTGAAGCATGAACTGTTATGGGAGTCCTGAATTATTATTATTATTATAATCAAGGGGGAAGCGCTAAACCGGAGGATTATACAGCGCCTGGGGGGGGGGATGTGGAAGGCATTAGCTTTTAAATTGGGGAACTGGAGCACAGACCAATCCCTAAAAAAAGAAACCCCTCACCAGCATCAAGGAACCTTCCTTGAGGGGAGGGAGTCCTGAAGCTTGAATGTTTTTGGGGTTGAAGCATGAATGTTTTTGGGTCCCTGAAGTTGAATCTTAGGGGGGTCACCTCCAACCAGCCAATGGCTAGGCCTAATAGGCCCACATGATACTTTATAACCTTTCAATATTATTTTGACCCTTTTTACTGAATTTACATTTATTTTTAAAACTTGTCATAGAGTAGACCCAAAATTTTGAAACAGTGTGGAGTAAATTTGCTTCTAGGGGCCCCCCGGATGAGGGGCCTGAACTCGAGCTTCAAATAGTTTCACAGAAGATCCGTCTTGAATTTCAATACCATGGAGCCTTGGTTATCGAGCATAATTCGTTTCAGATGTCGGCTCGATGACCAATTCTTCCATAAGACAGAAATTAAATAGAATTAAACTGTTCGTGACCCAAAAGACAAAATATTAAAACTGGTTTATACTGGAAGCAGGGGGGGAGGAGAGGAGGGGAGAGAGAAGAGGAGAGGAGAGGGGAGGAAGAGGAGGAGAAGGAGAGGAGGGGGAGGAGGGAGGGAAGAGGGGGAGGGAGGGAGAGGAGAGGAGGGAGAGGAGAGGAGGGGGAGGAGAGGAGGGGAAGGAGAGGAGGGGGAGGAGAGGAGGGGAAGGAGAGGAGGGGGTATGTTACTGCTGGAGGTGAAGAAGAGGGGGGTATATTACTTCTTGGAAGAGGAGTCACCTTCCATTAATACAACTGTTCTTCTGGTGTTATTTCTCTTCTTTGTCTCTTGTCACCACTTACACCTTGTTCTGGCTCACTGGTTCTTTATCTCACTAAATATCTGTCCAGTGAGGTTCGTTTTAGGCTCTATTTTAACACTTGTCTAAATAGAGACATTACACTGTATACACGTTAGAGAGATGGAAGGCCACTGCTGTGTCTGGATGGTATTTTTCAGCAAACTCCTGCACTTCATGCCATTTAGCACACTTCCTTGACAAGTGCAGTGGGCACATCATCCCTTCCCTCCGCTTCCTCGGATTACAGCTCATCCGATGCAGTCTGTTGCTGCTCCTTCTGAAGGTCTACAAGTTCTTCTGTGAATCCACGATGGTTTATCTCACAAAAACAAAAAAAAAAAAAAAAAAAAAAAAAAAAAAAAAAAAAAAAAAAAAAAAAAATACCATAAGAGTTTGCAAGATGCACAAGAAAAGCTTGTGATGTTTACAGTATGTGAGTTAGTGGATATAATGACTCAGACCCACGCTCTCGGCTCACTGTCTAGTGCGTATTCTGTGAGCATGTGACCCAGGCCGCTCACATTGTCGGTCGACAACCAAGAACACGTATGAAAACCAGGACTTTTTTCTTGAATTCCTCATTCGAAAACCAATTTGATCGATAGGTAATGCAGTCGGCAACCAAGGAGTAATGATAAAAAAACAATATAAACATGACATATTTATTCAGTTAAAAGAATGCTGTACAGGTATACCACTTCTACATGCCATGTTGATATAATTCCTACATTGCTCCGTTTCGAGTTTCTACTGGATGGTTGGAAAGGAACTCAGGCGTAAGTCAGGGAGGATCTGAGGGGCTTGGACATCCAGCACTCACGTGTGTGGTAGATGAAGTAAGTGGAGATGAGGCTCTTACTTTTTGACGCGCTGTTGGAGTGTAAGCAGTGTGACATTAAGAGGTATAGGGAAACTGGTTAGCCAGACTTGAGTCCTGGAGGTGGTAAGTACAGTGCCTGCACTCTGAAGGATGAAAAAGGATATTAAAATCCTGTACATAGTAGTAAAATTAACATCCTTCACCACCACCACAAAAAACTCAAAGCACTCTACCATCTTCACCTCACAAAACAGCAACAAACCTTGCATATCCACTGAAGAGGACACCAGAACAGGGCCAAAACATACAGATCAACTGATCTTCCAACTGTATCTCCACGAGGGTTATCAATTGAGCATAAACATGAAATTTCTGCTAAACAGATGATTGATGGTCCCTAAGGGCTATAATTGCATGGCAACGAGGAGAGGTGACCGGGTTGAAGAGCTGAACCAGATAAGCGGAAATATTCCCCTCCTGGAAAGCAAAAAAAAAAAATTTATTAGAAACATTAAGTGCAACAGAGAACATCAAATACATGAGTGTCACAGAGTACATAAAAAATGAGTGCATTAGACAGTAACTGAATGAATGACCGTGAATGTCTTTTCTTCTTTTTATCACCATACCCTGGCAGGCGGCAGTCATTAAGCAAAACACACAAACAAGACCGACACCATTTTCACAGTCGGCACTAAAGAAAATTAGGCACAAGTCAGAAAATGGTCCAAACTGGTCCGACTGAAACGCAAGTCGAAAATGTCGCGAGTCGAAAATGTTGTAAGTTGAATAAGAACACATGATAAACAAATAAGTAAATAAATAACTACTGTTGCTAAATAAGTAAATCAACAAATAATTACTTTAACTAAGTTAAGTTAATCTTAAGTTTGCCCAAAATGCTCTGCATATAAAGGAGCTTTTGGCATGGTTAACCAAATTGTTACACCCCTTTGTACAAATATGTATCATGCTAAAATAAACTTGTTATTGTTAAATACCAGTATTGAAAAGTAAGTAATGATCACAAGTTTATCCTATCAATAAATGTACAGAACTGTACAGTACTGAATGTGCACTGCTATCACACCATCGTAAAGTCGAAACATTGTAAGTCAAACCGTCGTAAGTTGAACTATTGTGAAGTCGAAATATTGTAAGTCGAACCATCGTAAAGTCGAACCATTCAAAGTTCAAATTCAAAGTTTATTCTCTATAAGGATTACAATGCTGAGTTTACAGAATTTGGATATTGTGTGGTTTACATGTAGTAAAATAATAATTACAGAGTGTACCACTAGAACACCTAGCATGGCTAGGCATTTTGGGCAGACTTAGACTTGTAAAGCAAGGGGTACCTGTATTGTTCCAGCCATGGTATTGTACATTAATGTTCTTTCAAAATTCAAGTTACCTGCTCCCTTAGAAAGGCCAATCGATCAAGGAGAATTAAACCCTCTATAACAGGAGCCAGAGATGCTCGCAGGAGGAAAAATCTCTCTAACTTCGGTATATTGTGCTTGTGCTGGCGGTAGAATTGTTCCAAGTCTTCCTGCGTTACCTGTTGGTGATAAAACATTAATTTCCAGGTCTTCCTGTGTTACTTGTTAGTGATACTATTAAGAAGGTATGTGTAAAGTTAACGTAACCAGAAGATTTGCGATTTATCCGTCATCTTACGTGTTCATGAAACAGTAAGGTGTTAATGTTGCAGTTTAAAAACTGTAGTGTAAAGCACCCTTCTGGCAAGATAGTGATGGAGTGAATGATGGTGAAAGTTTTTCTTTTTCGGGCCACCCTGCCATGGTGGGAATCGGCCAGTGTGATAATAATAAAAAAAAAAAAAAAAAAAAAAAAAAAAAAAAAAAAAAAAAAAAAAAAAAAAAAAAAAAAAAAAAAAAAAAAAAAAAAAATGTATCTGTCATCTTTCTTCGTCCTGATACCAATGTTACCATAAGATAACTGATATAAACATGAGGGGTGCGCAGTGCACCTTTACCACTCATTCCTTGATTTAACCTTTTGCAATAAGTGTTTGCAAAGCAAAAATTGTAAGAAGCATCACCCACCATAATGCAGGGCAAAAAGGAATGTATAAACTCCACATAAACAGTGGCCCCCGGCAGAGAAAATTTTTTTTCGTCATCAATGTTATGATGAAACGTCATGTGAGGACTTACTGTGCTATACAAATCAAATTTTTTTTTTTTCAAAAGGTACAAAGCGGTTCAGGAATTACAGGTTAATTTCAGCTGTGAACTACAACTCGGTTGTAGCTCACAGCTGACCACAACCAAAAATGACCAAAATATTTACTCAGACCACAACCGAAAACAACCAAAATTATTTATTATGAGAGAAATTTATGGTGGGAATACCATTTTCTAATTGTTTCAAAATAGATTATCAAGCTATTAAAATAAGATTTAAATATATTTTCTAAGAGCAAAGAAAGTCAGAGACTGGTCACAGACCGGGCCGTGGGGGCGTTGACCCCCGAAACTCTCTCCAGGTATACTCCAGGTATACCTTTAATGGTAATCGAAGCTACAATAAGATTTGTGCACGTATTTTCTAATAGGATAAAATGCCAAAGACTGGCTTACCTCTAATGTAATTCCCAGCTTGGCAAGTGCCATTCTGGCATACTCTGGAAAGTTGTTGCATTTTGTTGCTATTCGACCAACATGGACGACATCGGCGACATCGACCAGTTTCTCCCTCAATAGCAACTGTAGTAGCGCTCGCCAGAATAACGTCTCTGTGCCCCCCTGTAATAAGTGATAATTTATGGAGATAAGTGGTATAAAATACCGACGTGATCTGTTTATGACATGATACAAGTCATTGTGTGGGTGAAATGTAGTCAATAAGGGATCGCATTACACTGTATTTGTTTATTTTTCCAAATAATAATTACAGGTACCATCCAACTTACAACCAAGATTGGTTCCGAAGAACCGATCGTAAGTCAAAATGGACGTAAGTTGAACCTTACTACTGAATATCAACATCACACTTTTGTAATGATTTTATTTTATTGTTTTATTTTGATATTTCATTTTTTACTTTACTTTTTATGCTGTTAGTACTGTATTTTATACTGTAAAGTTTAGGATAAACACTGTGTACAACACAAACACTTGTTCATTTCCAAGAAATTTGGCATAAAAAAATGGTCGTACGTCGAGTGGTTGTACGTTGAGTGGTCGTATGTTGAGCAGGTCATAAGTCGGATGGTAGGTGTATGTAGAGAGCAATACACAACCCGCACATAGAAAGAAACGAATGGCATTTCAGTTCGAATTGGACTGAAACATCATGTGTTTCAATCTCCTATGTGCGAGTTGTGTATTGTAACCACAGGATGTAAATGACTGGTATACAGTGCTGACAAGGTGAAGAATTAGATACATGTTCAACATCTGGGTATCTTTATTGTAGACATTTCACCATCCAATGGCTTTATCAATACAGTGGACCCCCACTTAACGATAACCTCCCAATGCGACCAATTATGTAAGTTTATTTATGTAAATGTGTTTGTGCATGTATGTTTGGGGGTCTGAAATGGACTAATCTACTTCACAATATTCCTTATGGGAACAAATTCGGTCAATACTGGCACCTGAACATACTTCTGGAATGAAAAAATATCGTTAACCGGGGGTCCACTGTACAGGGACATAATGTGAAGACAGAACTATATACAAAAGATGAGGTAATGATTCCATCAGCCTTGGAGTTGGTGAAGAGCACTGTAATCTTGAAGTACCTGAAACACAAGCAGGAAGACTGCAGCTTATTTACTGGCATCAGGTGAGAGGTGTAGCAGATGAGGACATTGTCACTGGTAAGTGGGATTCACCAGTGGAAATAAGTCATACCCGAGGGACGGGCCAGGAGCAAGCAAGAAGATTGTGGAGATGTCCTCTGTACCAACATTCCATGATGTTGCAGTGTCTAACAAGTTGTATGAGAATCCTGCCTACCAGTGACAATTCCTTCATCTGCTACACCTCCCTCACCTGACGCCAGTATATAAGCTATGTTGCAGCCCCCTACCAAACTAGCGGTTAAATAGTTAACCTACCGGCCGGCAGTACCACTGGGTACGTCATCAAACCCATTGTGGGGACTGCTGAGCCGGCCTTAGAGCAGTAAGTACCTAAACACCTCACGGTACGCACCGCAGCAGCAAGTACCTAAACACCTCACGGTACGCACCGCAGCAGTAAGTACCAGAACACCTCACGGTACACATCTACTGGCTTTAGAAGCAGTAAGTACCTGAACACCTAATGGTATACATCTACTGGCCATAGAGCATTAAGTACCTGAACACCTCACAGTACACATCTACTGGCTTTAGAAGCAGTATGTACCTGAACACCTCAAGGTACGCAGCTAAGCATTAAGTACCTGAACACCTCAAGGTACGCAGCTAAGCAGTAATTACCAGAACACCTTACAGTATAGATCTACTGGCAGTAGAGAATATTCTCCTGCCCATCTTTTGTTATTCTACTGGTTTCTACTGATTTTAGAAGAGCCGCTCACCGCAGCTCACTGAGTCTGATGGCCTCAGTTACTTGACGGCCGCACTCAGTGAGCTTGCAGCATGGTGTTCTGCTAGTAATTCATCGGACCACCTTGCGGTGTGTCAATTGGTCTTGAAGGCGGTAGATAGTAATCCCAGACCATCTTCGGTGTACTTCTACCAGCCTTGGAGAGTATTTACAGGATTTAACCGTGATTTTCTGCGGACTCACCGCCTACGCTGGTCAACTGGGGCCGGAGTCATCTGATGCTGTTTTAGTGGGAAAACATTTAATGAAGAAAGGTTGGAGTGCTCACTTTAACTTGGGCTAGGGGACCTGTAGTGTTAGACTTAAGCAAGTAAAGATGAGTGGGAAAACTAGATATGCTACAGGACCGAATGGAACACTGAAAGAAAAGGGTGTCGTGTGACACTGAAGATGGCCTGTTGTTGTGTACATGAAAGTATCATGTGACTGGCCTCTCGAAAGACGCTAGTCGATAGTGTGGGTCGCAGAGACAAGGGTGTAAGTGTGACACAGTTCGAGAAAGGGTGGAGACGCAAGAAAAGGGTGTCGTGTGACACGGGAGCGGAGTGCTGGTGACACAGAGAAAAGGGTGTCAAGATTGTGAAGGAGGGATCATCACACGCAAAAAAGGGGGCGAGTGACACGGTGGAGAAGGAGCTCACAACTCGAATAAGTGTTGTGGGACACAGAGCGTCATTTTAAGTGTGTGTGAGACACGAAAATGATCATAATTTAATTATACAAATGTTATTTATAATTTATTATTTTAGCATAGATATATATATTATTATTTTAAGATGCTAATAATTTATTATTGTAACATATAATATATATATTTTAAATACCTCTATACCAAAGATTGATTTTAAATAATATTAAAGATTAATTTATTTTATGTTTATTTATGTATCCCCGAACTCTTTATTACAAAATGAGTAAACCTACCATCCTTAAAAATAACTTTTTTTGTAATAAGCTACAATCTTCCTGCCTGTGTTTCAGGTACTATCACAGATTACAGTTCTCTTCACTCTCACCACCTCAATAGGCTGGGGAGGGGGACTGATTACCTCATCTTTTGTATATCATAACCACAGTCTTCACTTTATATCCTCATATTGATTAATAAAGCCACTGGATAGTGGAATAAATCTACAGTACAGATATCCAGATGTTTGCACTGTGTCTAATTTTTCCTGTAAACCACAGTACAGTGGACCCCCGCATAAACGATTACCCCTCCGAATGTGACCAAATATGAAGTGTATTTATTAAGTGCATTTGTACGTGTATGTTTTGGGGGGTCCTGAAATGAACTAATCTAACTTCACAATATTCCTTATGGGAAGAAATTCGGTCAGTACTGGCACCTGAACATACTACTGGAATGAAAAAAGTTCGTTAACCGGGGGTCCACTGTACTTTTGAAAGTAATGAGTACACACCCAGAGCTGAAAACTTGTTGTTCAACTACTGAATGATACAATAACTATGTAAAATGTAACATTTCAGTACAGGATCTCCTTGACTTACGATATTTTGACTCTACAATGGTGTAAAACCAGTTACTTTTGAGATGAAACTTAAGATAATTACCTAGCATGAAGGCGGCAAGTCCATAACTTGTATTAAGATAAGATAAGATTTCGTTCGTATTTTTAACCCCGGAGGGTTAGCCACCCAGGATAACCCAAGAAAGTCAGTGCGTCATCGAGGACTGTCTAACTTATTTCCATTGGGGTCCTTAATCATGTCCCCAGGATGCGACCCACACCATCGACTAACACCCAGGTACCTATTTGCTGCTAGGTGAACAGGACAACAGGTGTAAGGAAATGTGTCGAAATGTTTCCACCCCCCGGGAATCGAACCCGGGCCCCTCCGTGTGTGAAGCAGGAGTTTTAGCCACCAGACCACCGGGCCACCATTTCATTTAATTATTTTTTAATACTGGTACAGTTAGTTACAGTAATTATTTGTTTATTCAGTTATTTATTTAGTATATCATTCATGTTCAACTTACGATATTTTTGACTTGGGATAGTTTTTGACAGAAAGGTAGCGCCTTGTACTATAAAATAAATAACGTGTTATATAACTTACAAATCCTCCCTGGAGTAAGGTCGTTTGTTCCGCTGGTTGACAAGACAACATTCTGCTATTCCGTCCCAGAACAAATTTTTCTCTCTTGAGTATGGAGCTAAGTGGGAAGCCATAGCCTAGGTTTGGGATTTCAGAAGGACATAGTGGATTTAAAGGCAGAGATTCGAGGTCCGCCACTGATCCATGAGTTATGTCTTCAATGTCATCTGGAGGTTTCACGCTCTTTGAACATAGCTCTTTTACTAATTTCGAATCACACAGACACTGCCCATGATATTCGAGGTCTCCATCTGCAGATCCATGAGATATATCTAGAATATCTGGAGGTTTAAAGTTCTTCACATACCCTGTTTTCACTAATTTTGAATCAAATTCACACTGCCCATCACCCGAACAACTAGAATTCATATCATAAGGTAAAATGACAGCGTCATTTTGAGAAGTTTGGGAAACAGGTTGTACATAATTCGCTTTTTTTTGGATGAAAACATTCTGAGAAAATTCTTCCTCAATGAGATGGTAACAGCAGCCAACATTGCAAATAAAATCCACTTCAGAATTAGCTAGAAACAATTGCAGACTACTCGAGGCCAGATTACCACACGTGTGTAGGCCAACGAGGCCTATGTGGGAAATGCCTTCTTCCTCAGCAGCTAAATTCTTCAAGCCTAAACCTGACATGCATCCCTCAGCATCCATTGTGTTAGAAACTAAATTTTCACTGTTTATATATTCTTCGCCAGTCTTAGAATAATTTTCAGAATTTAAATTCAACTTTTTTAAGTTTTCAGAAAATTTGTGATCAACTCGTAACCTCTGGTGGACAGAAAGTTCGTAATCAGCTTGCAAACTCTGAGAGGCAACAGGTTTGTTATCGGTTTGCAAATTCTGATAGGCTACTGATTCCCTAGACACTCTCGGAATCTGATTTTCAGCTGGGCGAGTGGTCTCTCCATTAGTAATTTTATTAACCCTATACTCATATGAACCTTCTAAATGATTTTTATCATGAGTAGAACCTTCTAAATTATTTTCCTCATACATAGAACCTTCTATATTACTTTCATCCTCATGTATAGAACTGTCTATATACCTTTCACCACTGACAACAGTTCTGACAATCTCGACCAGATCGGTATCGTCAGTTATGAATTTTGTAAGGCCAATATATTTGCCAAAAGTTCCGCATCTTGAACGCCGGCATTTATTTAAATTTTCCGCCAGGTCGATTTTTCCTCGACTAGCGCTGTTCAACTTTGAGTTTCCCCCTTTCCGTCGAGTCTTTCCTTTCTTTATACTTTTTCCTTCCATTCTGTCTTGTTCTGCTTGCTTGAGCTTCTCCCAGTGCCTCTGAAAAATACAAAATTTATTGTATAAATACAAAACAATCAAAATTTATTTGTATAAAGTTCAGTACAGCATAGGCAGGCCCGGCTTTACATGCTTCACTTACAGAACTTTGTAATAGAGTTTTCAACTATCATACACATTCTTCATTTATTCGGGATTCCTACATATATTACTAAAATACTTAAGAAGTAATGTATGTAATGGTATGTATTTTTAGTCAAGCACTATTGCTTATTTATTATGATATGTAAACATATATCAGCTTTAATACTTACAGAAAGTGAAAAAGCTATGATGTACTTTTAAAGCAATTTTTGCTTACATCAGTACTGGAAGTGAGCCTACATAGCCCAGAACTACCTGCTGTACAATGGGGCCCTATCAGCAGCTGGAACCTAACTGCTGATATCAGGGTGCTACAGTAGCTGGAACCTAACCTGCTGCATAAGCAGGGTGCACAGTAGCCTGAACAATGCTGTATAGTAGGGTCTTACACATAGCCTGGAACCTAACTGCTGTACAAGCGGCCTATGTAGCCTGAAACCTAACCTGCTGTATAGCAGGGCCCTACAGTAGCCTGGAACTTAACCTGCTGTATAAGTGGGGCCCTACAGTAGCCTGGAACTTAACCTGCTGTATAAGCGGGGCCCTACAGTAGCCTGGAACTTAACCTGCTGTATAAGCAGGGCCCTACAGTAGCCTGGAACTTAACCTGCTGTATAAGTGGGGCCCTACAGTAGCCTGGAACTTAACCTGCTGTATAAGTGGGGCCCTACAGTAGCCTGGAACCTAACCTGCTGTATAAGTGGGGCCCTACAGTAGCCTGGAACTTAACCTGCTGTATAAGTGGGGCCCTCCTGTATTTGAGAAAAGAATACGTACATGGTTTTTAACCCTTAAACAGTCCAAATCGTATATATACGTTTTTTCAACATCCAAAAGTATGTAAAAAAATGTAGACCTTTTTTGTTTTACATTTGAAAACGTGTAAAAAAAACTTTTATCTACATTTTTTTTTGTTATATTTGAAAATATGTAAAAAAAAGTAGATCTATTTTTGTAGCTACGAATTTGAACGTCGATCTGTTTGGACCGTTTAAGGGTTAAAATATTGGAGGTATTAAGTAATTCGATAAAAAAAGTATACTTAGAGATATATTAAGGGTGAAAATAGGTACATGTGTTGAAGAAATGACACAAGGAAAGTGTCAATACAGGTTGATTCCAAGGGTCATCACCCCAGCAACCTGGTTACATACATAAGAAATTAGGAACAGGCCTACTGGCCCATGCAGTAAATCCTCAGCTTACAGCCATATTGAGAATCTTTTATATTGTGCCTAATATCATTATTATATGAATTATTTTATTATTTTATTAACACATCAGCCAATTCCCACCAAGGCACGGTGGCCCAAAAAAGAAAAACTTTCATCATCATTCACTCCATTACTGTTATAAAACTGCAACATTAACACCTCTCCTTCATATTATACACAATTATGAATATTATACACAATTATGAATTATACACAATTATGAATATTATACACAATTATGAATATTATACACAATTATGAATTATACACAATTATGAATATTATACACAATTATGAATATTATACACAATTATGAATATTATACACAATTATGAATATTATACACAATTATGAATATTATACACAATTATGAATATTATACACAATTATGAATATTATACACAATTCAGTACTACACAGGTTCTTCTCAAACCCATTAACAAAAACATTTGCGCAACACATTCTGAATGCCACCCAAGGAACAAGCTTTGTTAACATAAGAACACACACGTTCAGGATTACCCCAGTGGCCTCTCACCTGCAGTTTGTTTTTCCGAATCAGGGCTGACGAAGTGTTCGATTTACTCGAGTCAATAGCAACAACATTTAGACCATACTGGAGAGCTAATGTTGAGCTTAGATACCCTCGTCCGCTACCAAGATCCACTATCCACTCAACTTTGCATCCTAGGGGGTAGAGACAGCACTGTACTTTAATACATAAAGCTGAAACAAGCAATGAGCATAGAAATATAAAAATCTACAGAGTGTAATGCTGCCATAGATGAAAATTATTTAATTTTTTAAAGCTTATACAACTAACTTCGAGATATTTGAAGATAATCCAACTCTGCTTTGAAACTCTCTAAACCGAAATTTCAATTGTATATCTGTAGGTGTGTGAGCTGGGTAATATTCTGTGAAGGGATTCAGGGAAACTGGTTAGCCAGACTTGAGTCCTGGAGGTGCGAAGTACAATGCCTTCACTTTAACCCTTTGACTGTCGCAGGCCCCTTTCTGAAACTGTCATTCTATGTCGCAAAAGTTTTGGAAAAAAAAAAATTATTTTTTCTTATGAAATGATAGAGAATCTTTTCCCGATGGTAATGACACCAAAAGTACGAAATTTGGTCGAAAACTCACGGAATTATGCTCCCGCGAAGTTAGCGGTCTCGGCAACATACATGCATCAGCTATTTCGCTAACTTTGAGCCCTGTTTTTGGCCAGTTCTGTTGTTCCAGTTGGCCAAACTCATAGCTATTTCTTTAGAAATCCATTTTTTCTATCAGTTGAGTACAAGAAACCGCCCATTTACCGATTTGAACTACCCAATAAAGTGGTCAGAAATTGGCAATTTGGCCAATTTCACGCAAACTAAAAAAGATGCCAATTTCAAAATAGGGTCCAGAATAAACAAGGTAGACATTCTTGGCACTAAAATAACATATCCTCTGTTCATTAGTCACATCTCTAGGCCCCTCTTATATTACTATAGCTTTCTATTTTGATTTTTTATTCATACAAAAAAATACAAAATTTACTGTTATGCAGGCTACTGCATTATTGTAAAAATGGTATAAATAATATCAGTGTACTAGTGAAAGAATATCAGACTCCCCAGTTGAAGTGTATTGGACGTGTAGTGTGATTTGCGTACTCCTGAACATTGGTAAAAATCGAACATTTCTGCTACTTTGAGCTCAATTTCAAGGTCGTTTTCATCATGAAAGTAATGAAAATCATCTCTATTTCTGTAATATGTTTTCCATTTTATCACCTGAGACAATGAAAACGAGAATACAACGATAAATACTATACGAAAATACACCTCAAAGTCGGCATTTTAATCCAAAAAAAACGGTCAGTTTTTTTTTTTTCTCATTACGCACTGTGTGCTGCAGGATTTTTTTTATGTGGTGCACACTGACCACACAGACCCATTCTCTCACATGTAGGCCTACCAGCTTTCTCCTGCTTGATTTGAAGCCACTAGAATTTATGCGTATAAATACATCAGAAACAGTGGCGCGTAAGACGTATATATACGTCTTACGCGTATAAATACATCAGAAACAGTGGCTCGTAAGACGTATATATACGGCATAAACAATCAAAGGGTTAAAGGAGGGGTTTGAGATATTTGCTGTTAAGAGTAACATCTAAATTGTCATATCTGACCATCTCTGCCAAGACAGTGATAGTGTGAATGATGGTGATACTGTTTCTTTTTTTTCGGTCACCCTGCTTCAGTGGGAGACAGTCAACATGTTGAAAAAAAAAAGAAGGGCCCGGGTTCGATTCCCGGCAGGGTGGAAACATTTCAACGTGTTTCCTTACACCTGTTGTCCTGTTCACCTAGCAGCAAGTAGGTACCTGGGTGTTAATCAACTAGTTTGGGTCGTGTCCTGGGGGACAAGATTGAGGACCCCAATGGAAATAAGACAGACAGTCCTTGATGACGCACTGACTTTCTTGGGTTATCCTGGGTGGCTAACCCTCCAGGGTTAAAAACCCGAAGAAAATCTTATCTCTTACATTAAAATTAAAAATTTCTAGAGAAAAAAACTGCTTTTATATTTCTGACCGAAGTATAATATGCTGATGTTACGGCAGGATATTTTAATAAATTTTAGCTTAGTTTTGTGGAGAATTAAATCGTCACATTGGACATAGGGGGGTAAGGAAGAGAAATGATAACAGATATACAAGAGAATAAATACCATAAATAAATGATTAGTAAGTTCGTACATTTATTCAGGTACAGATATACATAAATACAGTTACATAAGTTACCATACATAGCAACATATGTGTACATTACCCTCCAGGATAACCCAAGAAAGTCAGACAAGTCTGATCTGGTTAGAGAAGTTAAATTACTGTAACTATCTGATCTAAATAATAATAATAATATTACTCCCACAGAATTCAATGTTTGTACAGAGATGGGTGACAGTTGTTACACAGAGAAAGTTCATAGTTGTGCAGAGCATTCTGGGCAAACCTAAGCCTATAATGGCAATTATTAATTGCTTATGTATAAATACATTAAGATATACAAACAACAAATTTGGGAATTACAAGGAGAACAAACAATTTAAAGTATTAATAGCACTTAAAATTGTACTAATGTAAACTGTACTAATTGTAATTTTTTTTGCTACGTCTCTACTGTATATTTTATTAATTATAAATTTTTGCTACCTCCCATTGTTGTGATAATACATAATTAAAACTGACCACTTGATAACCTGTTTCTGGTTTTAAGAAGTGTGTAAACATTACGATCAGTCGGCAGGAAATGCCCGGCATGTTAGCAGCTTTCTTTATCCTTAACGATACTTTATTTCGTGTAAACATACCAGGGTATGGGTGGGAATTGAACTAATGGGTGGTAAAACTCCAGGCCAGTGCAAGTTCAATCCCCTCCCAAACCCTGGTTACCCTGACAGGGAGTTCCAGATTTTGGGTTCTATTATACACACTGAGTTTTTACAAAAGTTAAAATGCATATGGGGAATGTCATGGAGATTTTTGTGTTTAGTATTATGACTATAAGTTGTGTTGCAGCTATCAGGAAAGCATTTCAGGTTGAGACTGATATTAGAATTTACTGTTCTGTATATGTAGTATGCACAGTAGTAAAAGAATTTACTGTTCTGTATATGTAGTATGCACAGTAGTAAAAGAATTTATTGTTCTGTATATGTAGTATGCACAGTAGTAAGAGTGAATGTTATATATAGTGAGATTTAGGTTTTTGAAGAGTAAGGGGATGTGTTGTCTAGCAGTGGATTGTGTGATCATTCATACTGCAGCTTTATTTTGAGTTATCGTCATCTTACGGTGATTTGCTGTAGTAGATCCCCAGGGACAAATAGCATAGGTGAGGTAGGGATAGATCAGTGAGTAGTATAGTACTTGTAATGCTGTTTGTGGTACATAATAGCGTATCTTTGAGAGGATGCCAACAGTTTTAGACACTTTTTGTTATGTGATGGATATGGGTGTTGAATTTCAAGTTGCTGTCAAGGTGCAGATCTAGAAATTTCCCCTCATTATGTTTAGCAATAAGAGTACAGTGGTACCTTGAGTTACGAACTTAATATGTTCCAGAAGGCTGTTCGAGTGCCGATACCAAACCAATTTGTTCCCATAAGGAATAATCTAAATGAGATTAGTCAGTTTCAGACCCCCAAAAATACACTTCCAAAAGCACTTAGAAAAATACACTTAAATAATTGTCCGAGTTGGGAGCTGTTCAAAATTCGAGGTACCACTGTATTGTTAATCATAATATTTAGTTGGATATTATTTGCTCTGCTCCCAAATATAATGTAGAAGGTTTTGTCAAAGGTAAGTGTAAGTTTCTTGGTGGTCATCCAGAGTGGCACCACACTCAGCTCACACAGTGAGGATCATGGCTAGGTGAACATGGACAGCAGGTGTCCTAAGGAAACACATCCTACTGTATCCACCCATACTGGGGATCAAACCATGGACCTCAGTGTGTGAGGCAAGTGCACTACCAACCCAGCAATGGTTTGCTATATGAAAGGATTACATATGGGTAACTGAGATTTACTGTTTTTCCAGCTAGATTAAAGTATAGCATGGAGAGATTTACAGGGACTTAGAAAGGAAAGAGAAGGAGAGGAAGAAGCAGTAAGAGGGGAGAGGATGTTAAATTTTGAAGGAACCCAATGGAAATAAGTCACTTTGTCTGACTTTTTTGGATTATCCTATGTAATTTACACTATGATAATTGTACTTGTGTGTACCTGTACATAAACAAACTTAAAATCAGAGGTGTAGTGTTGGCACACCTCTGACAAAACAGTGATGGAGTGAATGATGGTGAAAGTGACTTCTTTTTCAGGCCAATCTGTCTTGTTGAAAATTTATTTTTTTCAACAAACCCACTGAGGCAGGATGACCTAAAATGAAAAAAGTTTCTCTTTTTATATTTAATAATATATATACAAAAGAAGAGATTACTAGCACCTTGCTCCTGGTATTTTAGTCGCCTCTTACGACACACACGGCTTACGGAGGAAGAATTCTGTTCCACTTCCCCATGGAGGAAAAGTTATATATCTGGACAATAATATGTAAGGTAGAGCTGACCTTTAGCAAGCTGAGCCACCACCCGACTCATGACCTCCACTTCGTGTGTCTTCTTCTCCGACATTATTCCTTTAATTTTCAGTGTCGTGACATCGCTGGAGCCGTACAGTGCAAAAACCTATAAAAAAATGAATAATTACTATTATAAACAAAACAATACTTTTAAACCCCATTGCAAATTTTACATCGTAGTGGAGGTTTAGGCGGGCCCCCTGTATCAGTGGCTCCGGTTTTCCGGGGCCCTTCAGTTATCCAGCGTTTACTCTGGCCCCAAAAAAACCCAAAATTTTGTTTAAATAAGGGCCCCCAAAAGCCAAAAGTAGTGTTGGCATTTTTTCCCAAATTTCCAAAAAGAGAAGGGGTGAAGTGCTTCCATAGTAAAAAGTGATTTTTTAAATTAGTGGCAAAATTTATAAATTAAAGCTTTAAGTTTTTCAAAATTTTTTACGGTAGACCTTCATATTACACAGTAGTTATTTCCCGGGAAAATCCCGGTGTTTTTAAAAACCCATGTTGTATAAACTGAAGAAACTTAGGGGGGGGGGGGGGGGTTTTTTTTCGTTCCTGGGAGCCCAAAAAAAAAGGAAAACAAACTTTTTTTTTTTTTGGACCTCCAGATTTACAAAAAAAAAAGTGAATATGAAATTGTTTTTCCCAGGGTTGTGTGTTTTAATGTTGTTTTTATGCTTGGACTACAGATGAAACAGATATAATGTTTCCCTTAAAAATTGGGGGGTTGTGGTGTTTTTGTCGGGTGATTGTAAAGACGCGGGGAAAATATGGGTGGCCTTACGGGGGTGAGGGGGGATGGTTGTTGATTGTTGGCAAAAGGGTGGATGGTTGACATTTGTTACTAAAGTTGATGTTAAAGAATTAACCACGGGGATGGCCAAAAACTTTCCCCACCCCTCCTTTTTAATGTTGATCGGGGATTTCTTCCTTGCCCAATCTGGGCTACCTGATGGCATCTGCAATGTTAAATTTTTCAGAAGTTGGTTTTTGCCAAATTGGAGTCAAAAGTCCATTTATTTAAATAGTTTTTTCATCACTTTTCTTGGGTTTTGTTAACTTGGGAAAAACTTAAAAAACCCCCTCCAGTGGTTTTTTTTAAATATGTTGTATTTGGGGGGTAAAAAAAACAACTTATTATGTGGGTCCATATAAATTTTTTCCCCCCCCGCAAAAGGGAACCCTTTATAAGTTAATTTTACAAAGTGGGTTTTTAAAATTATGCTGCAATTTTTAATTGTGTAATAACCAAAATGTGCAAAATAAATCCTGTAATTTGAGGGTAATATGATTTATCAATTCTTTAAGTTTTCAAAGTTTTTGTTTTTGGTGAAAGGGTTTTATAAAATTAAAATTAAATTTCCCAGGGATGAGGTGGCAAATTCCCGAATTTTTTTTTTTATTAACACCCTTAAAAAAACCCCTTTCCCCCAAAACCCCCGGGTAACCAGAAAATAGAAGAAGAACTTCCCTAATAAATTTACTCCATCACTGTCATGCCAGAGGTTTTGTTTGCCACTACAGTTTTTAAAAATGAACATTTTAAAATCCCTCCTTCAGTGTGTTTGAAAAAGTACTTCCCCCTCCCGGACTCAAGTTTCCCCTAACTGGGGTTTCCCCGGAAAACCTTTCGTAAATGCTACTTTGAACCCACTCCAAAGCACATTGTCATAAAAACCCTTCACCACCCCCGCTCCTACCCCAACACGCTTGCTTGAAGTCCCAAACCCCTTTTACACAAAAAACCCCCTGTTAACCCCCCCCCCTCCCCAAATTTACCTCCCCCTATGAACGATGGTGAGGTAAGATTTATATTATATATGATGAAAAAAACATTAAAAATTTGGTTTATAATTGTCTGCCTAACTACAAAAAATATTTTCATTTTGATGCCCCTGAAAAAAAGATGCCCAAAAAGGTATTTCAATGATGCAATGGCAAATTATGTTAAGATGCAATATTTGGTTTATTGCATTTTATTGCAAAGATGTTTCGTCCACTGGTGGATGAAATGTGTTTTTAATAAACAGTCATAAAAATCACACTGTACTTAAACCTTTTGGTAAAAAAAGTATGACAAAAACAATATACCAGATAATATAACATATCACCTCCTGCAGAGAGGTGGTGACGCCCAGTGAGGGTAAACTGTGGTCATGTACGGCTTTTAGGAATGAGATGAGGTTGCAGGTGGACAGATTAAAGTCTTTGGAGGTGTCCGTATCGCCTGAAAATAGAAGAATAATAAACTGGACTGCCAGAAATGTAAATTCCCAATTTTTAAAGATATCAGAGGTTGCAGATAGACTTGACTATTACATGTTAGTATTAAATACAAAAAAAAAAATGATACAGTGTAACCTTGGTATGCGACCTTAATTCATTCCAGAAGGCTGTTCGATTATTATTATTATAATAAAAAAAGAAGCGCTAAGCCACAAGGACTATACAGCGAAGGCTGTTCGAGTGCCGCTCCATCTGAGTATCGAGCAAATTCTTCCCAACCTATTTTCTGTTTGGTTGGCTGTTATCACTAATCATCATAAGCCCCATGATAACTCATTTATACAAATAATACAAAAAACACCAAAAAATGCGAAGAAACACAAAATAGTTTACAGTGAAGTTCTGGCAGGTTGTATTTGTTTGGTCGAGTGCTGAGCTTTGTTCGAGTAGGGAGTTGGTCATATACCGAGGTTCCACTGTAGTATATTGTACTGGAGTGATAGAAATTTTGGTCTCAGTTTTTACTGACATCCAATTTAAACTCTACAAAAATACAGTAAATTCTCGAATTAACGGACAAATAGAGGGAAGGGAGTGGATGGCCAGTGGAAGTGACTGTGGATAGAGCTGGCATTATACTACCATGACTGTAACAATAACTGACAATTCTGTAATGATTATTTAGTCAAATTAAGCACTATACAATAGAGCAGGGGTGGGTCTTAAGGTCACACATGGCCTTCTAGGGCATTAAGTGTGACCTGAATGAATTATTTTTCCTGAAGCTATTATACAATTTCGTATTTTTTACAAAATAACCAACATTTTGCAGTATATCTAATTAAAATTTCTTGAATGGGGGCCTTATTACATTACAGCTAACTTCACTGTGGTCTTCCAACATACACTGGGTTAATTCTGTAACCAGAAGATTTTTTCTTCTGAATCTACTGACCCAACGGACTTCGTCCTGTATTTCTGAAGTTCACTAAATTGAGGATTTGGTGTAGTAATTTGACTCAGTAGGTGTGTGTGGTTGAACTGGGACTGGGATTCAATCCCTAATATCTAGAAATGTTGGTCATAATAACAATAAGTTTATTTTAACATGATGCATGTTTGTACAAAGGAGTGTAACAATTTGGTGACCATGCCAAAAGCCCCTTTATATGCAGAGAATTTTGGGCAAACCAAAGACTAACTTAAGATTAACAAGGTAATAACAGTGCAGTAATTTTACACAGTCATTAGGTGATTTACAGTGAATAGAAGAAAATTGAATAAAGTCTCTCATCACTTAACGACAGAGTTCCGTTCCTAAGGTCACGTAGGTAAACAAATTTGTTGGTTTAGAAAGACACGTAAGCAAACACTATAACATATTTATTAGAAAACGTTTCGGTCCTGGGACCTTGATCACTTCTAGAAGTGATCAAGGTCCCAGGACCGAAACGTTTTCTAATAAATATGTTATAGTGTTTGCTTACGTGTCTTTCTAAACCAACTTGTCGGTATTTATTACCAAGGTTTATACCAAACAAATTTGTCACTAACTGAGGAGCATACTAATGTCACCTTTGCACTATTTATAACATTTTTAGTGTATTTTTAAATGTTTATACAGTATTGTACTATATAATGTAATAAACATTTTAGAGGACATCAGCTTTAATATACATTATTTAGGTACGCATACTGGTCAGAGAGCCCGTGGAAAGTCCGAGGTGTCGGCAAACAAATACGTCGCTAAGTGAGAAGAGGCTATATCCAACTAGTTCACGCTCTACGGTTTTGGTAAGTTTGGTAGAGAATAATTACGGTTTTGATGTAGCATATAAAAATACAGTACAGTATTACAGTTTAGCACAATTTAAAACAATGAAGTTGAAAGAATTTTGAGTTTGAAGCAGTGAGTAAATAATTAAGCAATCATCAAGCACAATATACAATAATGAAACTGAAAGAATTTTAAGTTCGAAGTAAATGGCGAAATATTGTTGCAGTCTTAAATTATTAAGGAGTTTTATGAGTGACTGGCAGGTGTTAAGTGTAGTGTTTTGTTAATTTTGGTTGATGAGGTAATTTCTAAGTAGGGTCTTAAATTGATTTGCAGGCAGGGCCCTTTAGTGTATTCTGGCAATCAATTCCAGATCTTCAGGCCCTTCATGTGCCTAGCATTTTTGCACAGGGAGAGATGGACACGAGGGATATCAAATAGTGATTTGTGCGTTATGCCTATGTGTTCTGTTGTAGTTATCAAGGAGGAGTTTGAGAAGAGGGTTAATATTTGAGTATAATGTTGTGTGAATGTAGTAGGCACAATAATTGTGAACACTGTCAGTGTTCACCTAGCAGTAAGTAGGTACCTGGGTGTTAGTCACTTGACACCTGCTGTCACTGTTCACCTAGCAGTGAACAGGTTTTCATACAGTACTCACCTAACTGTGGTTGCAGGGATCAAGTCATAGCTCCTTGCCCTTGTGTGTGGCATATGTGGAGTATGTTACACATACTCGACATATGTCACATGCCCATATGGGCACACCCTCCCGGACAGGCTCCCATATTACGTTCGTACCGTATTAACTCAGTACGAACAGGTGCACAGGCCACTAGACTACACATATGTTTGTAATAGTGTGTGATATAATACATGTACTGTTTATTTCTATCAGTACATGATACAACTTATACAGATCATAGCTGTTATCAATGACATACTATATATAAAGTCCCTGGTTATGTAGAGCATTTCCCACAACTTAGGTTAATTCTGTCCCCAGGATGCCACCCACACCAATCACCTAATGTCCAGGTACCTGCTTACTGCTAGGTGAACACTGACAGCAAGTGTACCTATTCAATTCTGGAAAAAAAATTTCAACTGAATCTGCAAAAACAAAAAATTGCACGATTCACAACAGATTACGAGATAAAAATTCCACCAGCGACCAATTTACCATCGCTGTCAAATGCAAACGAGGCGGAGGGTAGAACGAGCAGTTCGTGATGGGATAGACGGAGGAGGTCACTCTGCAGCGGCGGCGGCAGGAGACTATCCCAGTGGTCGGAGGTCAGGTAGTCGACCATGTGGCACCCGGCCACACTTACCAGCGGGCCCAAGAACTTTGCGACTCTGGTCAACGCCTGGTTGATGTTCTCCCTCGATGCCATCTGCCGAAATAATCAAATTAGTCGATAGCTAAAAAAAAATATATTTACTATATTAATTATACTAATTATAATTTTTATTTTGTATTATAATTATTTATAATTATTTATTCTTTATTTTTAATATTATAATTACTATTCCCCTCAAGGACGGTTCCTTGATGTTGGTGAGGGGCTCTTGATTTAGGGAATTGTATCTGTGCTCCAGTTCCCCAAATTAAGCCTGAATGCCTTCCACATCCCCCCCCAGGCGCTGTATAATCCTCCAGGTTTAGCGCTTCCCCCTTGATTATAATAATATAATTACTATTACTAATTTTATTAATATTTTTATTATTATTATTATTATTATTATTATTATTATTATTATTATTGTCGCAGACGAAACAATGTTATATTAATCCAGGTAAATCCTGGAGGCTGGTAAGGGCTCTTGATCCACGGAACGGGAGCTGTGCTCTCCTTCCTCGGATCAAACCTCCTCGCCTCAAAGTCCACCCCCCTCCAAGAAGCACAGTATGACCCCGACGAGTTTAGCGCTCCCCCGTAGCCATCTCAGGATAAACGAAAACCGTGACTACTTAAAGGGTGGAGCGCTAAACCCGTAGGAATTTCCCTCAGGGGAGGCAGGGTGCTCGACCCCAGCAACCACAAATAGGCGACTACAGGGAGGCAATTAGGCCGGATCCAGGGGGATAAATCCACATCCTTGGATCAAGAGCCCTCACCACCATCAAGGGATACCCCTCAAGGAGGTATATACACCCTGACAGGTATACCTGTCGGTCTATATAGTTGGAATTAACGTAAAAATTAATAAAAAAAATTTATCTTACTACAGAAAGTTGTTATTGTTGGGTCTTATGGGTTGTTGCTGGACGAGGAGCCGCAGGAACTTTACCGTAGTTGTAAGTAGGTACCTGGGTGTTAGTTACCTTACACCTGCTGTCAGTGTTCACCTAGCAGTAAGTAGGTACCTGGGTGTTAGTTACCTTACACCTGCTGTCAGTGTTTACCTAGCAGTAAGTAGGTACCTGGGTGTTAGTTACCTTACACCTGCTGTCAGTGTTCACCTAGCAGTAAGTAGGTACCTGGGTGTTAGTTACCTTACACCTGCTGTCAGTGTTCACCTAGCAGTAAGTATGTACCTGGGTGTTAGTTACCTTACACCTGCTGTCAGTGTTCACCTAGCAGTAAGTAGGTACCTGGGTGTTAGTTACCTTACACCTGCTGTCAGTGTTCACCTAGCAGTAAGTAGGTACCTGGGTGTTAGTCACCTTACACCTGCTGTCAGTGTTTACCTAGCAGTAAGTAGGTACCTGGATGTTAGTAGACTGGTGTGAGTCACATCCTGGGTGTTAGTGGACTGGTGTGGGTCACATCCTGGGTGTTAGTGGACTGGTGTGAGTCACATCCTGGGTGTTAGTGGACTGGTGTGAGTCACATCCTGGGTGGTAGTGGCTGGTGTGAGTCACATCCTGGGTGTTAGTGGACTGGTGTGAGTCACATCCTGGGTGTTAGTGGACTGGTGTGGGTCACATCCTGGGTGTTAGTGGACTGGTGTGGGTCACATCCTGGGACAAAACTGACCTAATTTGCGGGAAATGCTCAGCATAACAAGGGACTTTCTATATAGTAGTATGTCACTGATGTCAGCTATGATCTGTATACCTTGTACATGTACTTGTATACCTTGTACATGTACTTGTATACCTTGTACATGTACTTGCATACCTTGTACATGTACTTGTATACCTTGTACATGTAGTTTTATACCTTGTACATGTACTTGTATACCTTGTACATGTACTTGTATACCTTGTACATGTACTTGTATACCTTGTACATGGCAATATAAACACAAATGCAGTATAATGTGATCCTTTATTGACTACGTTTCGCCCACACAGTGGGCTTTTTCAAGTCACAAACAGAACTACCTGGGGTGGAAGGAACGCGAGTATTTATAGTCCGGCTGAGGTCAGGTGAAGAATGCTGCATCTGATGATGTACCGAGTTGGGTTGTAGAGTCTAAAAACTTGGGTAGCTTGGAAAGGAGACTGGACAAGTTTGTGAGCAGACCTTCTACAGTGTTCTTATGTGGGATAGCGATGAAGAAGTTTCTTGGCAAGTGGTTCAGCTATGTTATAGAAGCCACTATTCTGGTTGAAGTTGTCGGATATAGAAATAAGTGATGATTCCAGGATTCTTCGGTATTGAGTGTTGTCTTCTGTGGCGATAAGTCTTGAGTTTCTGTAGTTTATCAAGTGGTTTGTGTGAATTACGGTGTTGTACGCAGGCATTCCTTGTGTCGTCAGACCTGCTTGCGTATTGGTGTTCTGAAATACGTGTTTGGAGGTCCCTTGATGTTTCGCCCACGTATAACTTGTTGCAGTCATTACAAGGGATTATTGTATACCCCTGCAGAGGATGGAGGCTTGTCCTGCCTACTACTGGTGATGTCCTGATGGTCGTGGTTGTGGAGGTAGATACTTGGAATGATGTTTTGGCAAAGATGTTGGAAACATGTTTGGCAATGGAGTTGGTGGGAAGGACTATGTATCTCTTCTCGGCAGTGTCTTCTCTGGGTGTGTTGAAGATGTTTAGTGCTCGCCGTCTGCAGTCTCTGATGAAGTGACGAGGATAGTGGAGTTTGGAAAATACCTGTTCAATTATAGTGCATTCTTCCTCAAGGAACTCGTTGCTGCAGATTCTGAGTGCACGCAGGAAGAAGCCTATAATTACACCCGTTTGGTTTTGGTGTCGTGGTGAGAGTAGAAGTGGAGAAGATCGTTTTGGTTGGTGGGTTTTCGATAGACTTTAAAACGAAGTTCGTGGTCAGCTTTGCAGAGTAGAACATCAAGGAAAGGAAGAGTGTTGTCGACCTCTTCTTCAAGTGTGAACTGGATTGAAGGCTCGACCTGGTTGAGCTTGTCTTGGAGAGCTTGAACGTTGAAGCGTTTAGGAGTTATGAGGAGATGTCGTCAACATAACGGAGCCAGGTGACAGACGAAGGAATAATGGTGGAGAAACGTTCGGCTTCTAGATGTTCCATGTATAGGTTCGCTAGGACTGCACTGAGTGGCGAACCATGGGTAGTCCAAAAGTCTGCTGAAAGAGGTGATTTTCAAAAGAGAAACACGTAAGCCAACACATAGTTCAACCAGGTCGATGAAGTCGCTGGCTGGAATGGGAAGATCAAGTGAATCGTCAATTTTCTTGCGCAAGAGATCGATGGCTTGTTTAGTAGGTACTTTAGTGAATAGGGAAGTCACGTCAAGGCTGGAAAGTTTCTTGTTCCTGATGTTGATGTTGCGAATGCGATTGAGAAGATCACCTGAGTGTTTGAGATGTGCTGGACTGATAGTGCCCAAGAGTTTCGAGAGGTGTTTGGCGAGAATTCCTGAGAGCTTGTGGGGAGCACTGCCTATTCCCGAGGATATGGGCCTCAGTGGGATACCAGGCTTGTGAGTCTTTGGCAGGCCGTACATTCTGGCAGGTCTGGGGTTGCTGGGCATGGTGGCAGAAGTTTCTTCCTTGTTCTGAGCTCCTCAGAATGCGGCGAGTCCTTTGAAGAAAAGTTTTAGTAAGGTTGTCCACTTGGTTAGTTGTGAGAGGTTTGTAGGTATCTGGGTCATTAAGTAGATTGAGCATTTTGTTCCTGTAATCGTCAGTGTTCATGATAACAACACCACCTCCTTTATCAGCGGTGGTGACCCTGATGGTCGTGTCTTCTGCTAAACCTTTGAGTGCATTGATGTAACGTCGGGGTATGACTGGGGAGCTGCGTGTTGAGATGGCTGCTGAGATGATGCCTTGAAGATAGCCTTTTTGGAAGTCGGAGTCATTGTGTCTGTAGTTTTTGGCGATGAAATTGAGGTCTTGTTTTGGTTTCGTAATTCCTGAAATTATTCAAAATCTTTCATCTCGTCCACTGTCAACCACAGAAACTGAAGCCCTCAGCTTAGGCCTCAAATTCGCAACAGGAATTACGAAACCAAAACAAGACCTCAATTTCATCGCCAAAAACTACAGACACAATGACTCCGACTTCCAAAAAGGCTATCCTCAAGGCATCATCTCAGCAGCCATCTCAACACGCAGCTCCCCAGTCATACCCCGACGTTACATCAATGCACTCAAAGGTTTAGCAGAAGACACGACCATCAGGGTCACCACCGCTGATAAAGGAGGTGGTGTTGTTATCATGAACACTGACGATTACAGGAACAAAATGCTCAATCTACTTAATGACCCAGATACCTACAAACCTCTCACAACTAACCAAGTGGACAACCTTACTAAAACTTTTCTTCAAAGGACTCGCCGCATTCTGAGGAGCTCAGAACAAGGGAAGAAACTTCTGCACACCATGCCCAGCAACCCCAGACCTGCCAGAATGTACGGCCCTGCCAAAGACTCACAAGCTGGTATCCACTGAGGCCCATATCCTCGGAATAGGCAGTGCTCCCACAAGCTCTCAGGAATTCTCGCCAAAACACCTCTCGAAACTCTTGGGCACTATCAGTCCAGCACATGTCAAACACTCAGGTGATCTTCTCAATCGCATTCGCAACATCAGCATCAGGAACAAGAACTTTCCAGCCTTGACGTGACTTCCCTATTCACTAAAGTACCTACTAAACAAGCCATCGATCTCTTGCGCAAGAAAATTGACGATTCACTTGATCTTCCATTCCAGCCAGCGACTTCATCGACCTGGTTGAACTATGTGTTGGCTTTACGTGTTTCTCTTTTGAAAATCACCTCTTTCAGCAGACTTTTGGACTACCCATGGGTTCGCCACTCAGTGCAGTCCTAGCGAACCTATACATGGAACATCTAGAAGCCGAACGTTTCTCCACCATTATTCCTTCGTCTGTCACCTGGCTCCGTTATGTTGACGACATTCTCCTCTAACTCCTAAACGCTTCACGTTCAAGCTCTCAAGACAAGCTCAACCAGGTCGAGCCTTCAATCCAGTTCACACTTGAAGAAGAGGTCGACAACACTCTTCCTTTCCTTGATGTTCTACTCTGCAAAGCTGACCACGAACTTCGTTTAAAGTCTATCGAAAACCCACCAACCAAAACGATCTTCTCCACTTCTACTCTCACCACGACACCAAAACCAAACGTGGTGTAATTATAGGCTTCTTCCTGCGTGCACTCAGAATCTGCAGCAACGAGTTCCTTGAGGAAGAATGCACTATAATTGAACAGGTATTTTCCAAACTCCACTATCCTCGTCACTTCATCAGAGACTGCAGACGGCGAGCACTAAACATCTTCAACACACCCAGAGAAGACACTGCCGAGAAGAGATACATAGTCCTTCCCACCAACTCCATTGCCAAACATGTTTCCAACATCTTTGCCAAAACATCATTCCAAGTATCCACCTCCACAACCACGACCATCAAGGACATCACCAGTAGTAGGCAGGACAAGCCTCCATCCTCTGCAGGGGTATACATAATCCCTTGTAATGACTGCCAAAACTTGTATACCTTGTACATGTACTTGTATACCTTGTCCTCATCATAGGTAGAGGTTGTTTTGATAAGGACCTGCCTCGCATGGGCCAGTAGGCCTTCTACAGTGTTCCTCCATTCTTATGTTCTTATGACATTCCTCAGGTCACGTGCGTCACATCTCACTCTCCGCCTATATATATAATGTCTTTCTACCTCTGTATGTTAGAAGTGATCAAGGTCCCAGGACCGAAACGTTTTCTAATAAATATGTTATAGTGTTTGCTTACGTGTCTTTCTAAACCAATTTGTCGGTATTTATTACCAAGGTTTATACCATGTACTTGTATACCTTGTACATGTACTTGTATACCTAGTACATGTACTTGTATACCTTGTACATGTACTTGTATACCTTGTACATGTACTTGAATACCTTGTACATGTACTTGTATACCTTGTACATGTACTTGTATACCTTGTACATGTACTTGTATACTTGGTACATGTATTTGTATACTTGGTACATGTACTTGTATACTTGGTACATGTACTTGCATACCTTGTACATGTACTTGTATACCTTGTACATGTACTTGTATACATGGTACATGTACTTGTATACCTGGCACATATATACCTTGTACTTGTAATAAATAAAGATAATAATAGTATGTAAGGTGTTATTGTTGAGTTTGACTCAGGTTTTGGTGACCCTTAACAACATAAAGTTACGGTGATGCTTCTGACTGGTCCTATAAACCATAAACAACACTACATTGCTGGAAGTACTAGTTGTGCTCCAGCTGTCGTCGGGTGTGGACGTGTCTGTCTCTCTGTCGCCTCAGTGTCAGTGATAAATTTCCCCCGTTCTTTCTGGGACACTTGTCCTTATATATTTTGTGAACCTGGTCATCAGATTACTTTTAGCCAGCTTCTGGGGGCTTGGTGAAGGGTTTTTGATCCAGGGAACTGCAGCTGGCTCCGTTTCCTTGGAACAAACAGGATTATCTCTCATTTCCCAGGGGATATATGACAAAAAATTATTTGTGGAAATGTCACTGACTTTTTTTAGGGGTATCATCCGGGGTATTTTACACTGTAATCCCTGTGGGTTTAGCGCTTACTTATGATTACAATAATTTATACTTATGTGTACCTATGCCTAAATATAGTTTTTTATTAAATTAGGCGAAATTTTAGGTAATATTGATATTTTTCCCCGACGTTAGTTTTTAAAGTTTATTATGCAACCCATCCCCCTCCCCGGGGGTAGTCACCCCATACCCCTCCTGTGGGTGGTAGTCAAAAATACCCATCCTGTGGGGGGTTCACCCCCTACCCCTCCCGGGGGGGTAGTCACACCATACCATCTTGGGCGGTAGTCACCCCATACCCATCCTGTGGGTGGTAGTCACCCCATACCCATCCTGTGGGTGGTAGTCACACCATACCCATCCTGTGGGTGGTAGTCACCCCATACCCATCCCGTGGGTGGTAGCCCCCAAAACCCATCCTGTGGGGTGTAGTCACCCCCTACCCATCCCGTGGGGGGTAGTCACCCCTACCCCTCCTGTGGGGGTAGTCACCCCCTACCCATCCTGTGGGGGGTAGTCACCCCATACCCATCCTGTGGGTGGTAGTCCCCCATCCCCTTGGGGTGTATCCCCCATACCCCCCTGTGGGTGGTAGTCAACCCCCTACCCATCCCGAGGGGGGGTAGTCACCCCCTACCCACCTGTGGGGTGGGTCACCCCATACCCATCCTGGGGTGGTAGTCACCCCATCCCTCCTGTGGGTGGGGGTCACCCCATACCCATCCTGTGGGTGGTAGTCCCCCCATACCCTCCTGTGGGGGGTGCACCCCATACCCCTCCCCGTGGGTGGTAGTCACCCCCTACCCTCCCGTGGGTGGGTCACCCCATACCCATCCTGAGGGTGGTTTCACCCCCTACCCATCCTGTGGGGGTAGTCACCCCTACCCCCTCCCGTGGGTTGGGAGTCACCCCCACCCATCCTGTGGGTGGGTCACCCCATACCATCCTGTGGGGGGGGTTTTTTTTTTTCACCCCCAAAAAAAAACCCGTGGGTGGTAGTCACCCCAACCATCCTGTGGGTGGTAGTCCCCCCTACCCTTCCGTGGGTGGTAGTCACCCCTACCCCTCCTGAGGGTGGGAGGGACCCCATACCCATCCCCGTGGGGGTAGTCACCCCATACCCCTCCTGGGGTGGTGTCACCCCATACCCTCCGTGGGTGGTAGTCACCCCATCCCATCCTGTGGTGGTATCACCCCCAAAACCCATCCTGTGGGGGGTAGCACCCCTACCCATCCTGGGGGTGGTAGTCCCCCATACCCTCTGTGGGTGGTAGTCATCCCTACCCATCTGTGGGTGGTAGTCACCCCCTACCTCCGTGGGGGGGGAGTCACCCCCTACCCATCCCGGGGTGGGATCATCCCATACCCACCTGTGGGTGGTAGTCCCCCATACCCATCCTGTGGGTGGGGGTCACCCCCTACCCATCCTGTGGGTGTATCACCCCATACCCATCCCGTGGGGGGTAGCACCCCTACCCATCCTTGAGTGGTAGTCCCCCCAACCCATCTGTGGGTGGTGTCACCCCATACCCATCCTTTGGGGGGTAGTCACCCCATACCCATCCTGTGGGTGAGTCATCCCATACCCATCCTGTGGGTGGTAGTCACCCCATTACCCTCCGTGGGGGGTAGTCATCCCTACCCTCCTGTGGGTGGTAGTCACCCATCCCCTCCTGGGGGTGGTTGTCACCAATCCATCCTGTGGGTGGAGTCACCCATACCCCTCTGTGGGTGGTAGCATCCCATACCCATCCTTTGGGGGGGGGATACCCATACCCATCCTTGGTGGTGCACCCCTTTCCCATCCCGTGGGGGGTATCACCCCATAAACCCTCCTGTGGGTGGTTAGTATCCCATCCCACCTGTGGGTGGTAGTCACACATACCCTCCGTGGGGGTAGTCCCCCATACCCATCCTGTGGGTGGTAGTCCCCCATACCCCTCCTTGGGTGGTATCCCCATAATCCTGGGGTGGTAGTCACCCCATACCCTCCCGTGGGGGTAGTCACCAATACCATCCTGTGGGTGGGAGCACCCTACCCTCCTGTGGGGGGGTAGTCACCCCAAAACCCTCCTGTGGGGGGTTTCCCCCATACCCCTCCCGGGGTGGGAGTACCCCTACCCCCCTGTGGGTGGTAGTCACCCCTACCCATCTGTGGGTGGGAAGTACCCCTACCCCTCCTTTGGGGAGATCACCCCCTACCCCTGTGGGTGGAGCACCCCATACCCCTCCCGTGGGGGGAGTCACCCCCCAACCCATCTGTGGGCGGGAGTCACCCCCTACCCTCCCGTGGGCGGTAGTCACCCATACCCTCCCGTGGGCGGTAGTCACTCCATCCCTCCTGGGGCGGTAGTCACCCCTACCCATCCTTTGGGTGGTAGTCACAACCCTACCCCATCCTGTGGGTGGTAGCCACCCCATACCCCCCTGTGGGTGGATCACCCCTTTCCCCTCCTTTGGGTGGTAGTACCCATACCCATCCGTTGGGTGGTAGTCACCCATCCCAAACCCTTGGGGGGTAGTCATCCCTCCCCTCCTGTGGGTGGTAGTCCCAAAAATACCCCTCCTGTGGGGGGTAGTCACCCCCTACCCATCCTGTGGGTGGTAGTCACCCCCTACCCCTCTGTGGGTGGTAGTCACCCATACCCCTCCGGGGTGGTAGCACCCCTACCCCTCCTGTGGGTGGGAGTAACCCCCTACCCCCCTGTGGGGTGGGTACCACATACCCCTCCTGTGGGGGTAGTCACCCAAACCCTCTGTGGGTGGTAGTCACCCCTACCCACCTGTGGGTGGTTTTTACCCCCTACCCCTCCTGTGGGGGTATCCCCATACCCCTCCTTTTGGGGGGTAGTCACCCCTACCCCTCCGTGGGTGGTAGTACCCCTCCATCCCGGGGCAGTAGTCACCCCCCTACCCATCCTGTGGGCGGTAGACCCCCTACCCTCCGTGGGGGGTAGTCACCCCATACCCCTCCTGTGGCGGTAGTCACCCCATACCCATCCTGTGGGGGGTAGTCACCCCTACCCATCCTGTGGGCGGTGTCACCCCATACCCATCCCTTTGGGCGGGATCACCCCATGCAAATCCTGTGGGCGGTGTCACCCATCCCTCCGTGGTGGAGCCACCCCATACCCATCCTGGGGTGGACCACCCATACCCCTCCTTGGGTGGTGTCACCCCTACCCATCTGTGGGTGGTAGTCACCCCCTACCCATCCTTTGGGTGGTGTACCCAACCTCCTGTGGGTGGTATAAACCCCCTACCAATCCGTGGGGGGTAGCCCCATACCCATCCTGTGGGCGGTAGTCACCCCATGCCCATCCCGTGGGCGGTAGTACCCCCTGCCCCTCCTGTGGGGGTAGTCACCCCATGCCCCTGGGGCGGTGTCACCCCTTTGGGCCCATCCTGGGGCGGTTTGTACCCCTGCCCATCCTGTGGGCGGTAGTCACCCCATGCCCCTCCTGTGGGGGGAGTCCCCCATGCCCCTCCTGTGGGCGGTAGTACCCCATGCCCCTCCCGTGGGCGGGGTCACCCAAAAACCCTCCGTGGGCGGTGTCACCCCATACCCCTCCTTTGGGCGTAGTCACCCCATACCCATCCGTGGGCGGTAGTACCCCATACCCATCCTTGGGGGAGTCACCCCCTACCATCCTGTGGGGGGTAGTCACCCCATACCCCCCTGTGGGTGGTAGTCCCCCTACCCATCCTTGGGTGGGGTCCCACATACCCATCCCGTGGGTGGGAGTCACCAAATACCCCCTCCTGTGGCGGTTTCACCCCATACCCCTCCTGTGGGTGGTAGTCACCCCATACCCATCCCGTGGGGGTAGTACCCCAATACCCATCCTGTGGGCGGGAGTCACCCCTACCACCTGGGGCGGTAGTCACCCATCCCATCCGTGGGGGGTAGTCCCCCTACCCCTGTGGGGCGGTAGTCAAAAAGGGACAGAGGTTTCATAATTTGGGCTAGGGGGGCTGGACCCAAAATTTGATAGTGAGCAAGTTACAGGGTATGAATCAAATTTTCAAAGGAATGAATCCAGGTAGGGTTTTCCAAACATGACAAGTTACAAAAATTTTACAGATTTCGAGTTACTAAAGGGTCCGGGGCTGGGCCCCCAAAAATTTTTGATACTGAACTAGGACAAAGGAATGAACTCAAAGTTTCAAAGGGAAAGAATCCCGTAAGAAAAGGTTTCTTCGTTTATACATGGTTGCAATTTATGACAAAATTTTAGATAAAGAGTAATTTACACTTCCACATCCGGTCACAACTGTAATAAGTTATGACGGAATTCCTGCATTTTTTTTCATATTTTTGTGCTTAAAATCTGTATATTCCATGAAATATATACCTTTTTTCTTGTGCAAATTCTTACTTTGGGAAATATTAGCAAAAAAACATAGTTCATCTCCATAGTTTGATTTTTTGTGAATGCAACTGAAAAAGTACGTGTATAATGGGGCAGCACGTTGAAAGGCCTCCATAGCATGTGCTACGGAATTCTGGATGAACTTTTTCGACTGCATTTACGAAAAACATTAACGTAGACAAGAGGTGAGTGCACCTTAGTTCCGGCTCCAGTGTTGTGGCACCGCCAGTCTGCAATTTGTATTTAAGTTGCTGAACATGCCATTAAGTGTCAGGGGCCCAAGACTGTTCAACTGCCTCCCAGCATACATAAGGGGGATTACCAATAGATCCTGATTGTCTTGAAGAAGGCGCTGGACAGGCACCTAAAGTCAGTACTT